TTCCCGCATGCGGCAACACCAATTATTATCAGAAGGAAGAAGGCATTATTAAAGAAGGGAATTGTTTCCTTTTCTCAACGAAATGAAGTTTTTCCTATTTCCATAAAAAAATTAAATGGTAGAAGCGAAGAATAGAAAAGTTTTACTTTTTCTACTCCATTTTTGCGATCAAGTATTTAGAGTGATTCTTTTTTTCTTTTAGCTTTGTTTCATTTCTCTTCTTCTTTTATTTTTTTTATTATTATCATTATTATTATCAGTAACTTAGTAAAACATAACATGATAATTACGAAGAACACGAGGATTATCTTAATCGTCATTGTATTTTGAATGACAGATAACAAAATAAGTGTTATATCACCGACATTGATAGTTGGTTGTTTAGTGACGAGTGATACGTTATATGAATTATTAATGATGAGAAATAAATTAACAGGTTACTTACTGTTAAAAGAGAAAATCACATAAATTTGTTGGCACAACAAACGGTTAAACATGATTATAGAAGTTCGATTGATGTTGAAAAAAAAAAAAAAAACCGAAAAGAGAGAGAGAAAAAAGCGGCAAATGTTACGTGGCATCAGGTCGATTGATAATTAATCGCTTGTTTTAACGGCGTTTATTGCGCGAATAGTAGGTAATATCGATTAAACAAGCCGATTAAAAATATTATTCAGATATTCGAAATTTCGTTATACGTTAATTACTATATCCTTTTCATAATTTTCAATGAAATTTGTCGCACGTTTCTCCCATAATATTTTAGTTTTAAATTTTCGTCAAGGTTATGTAGATATGTACATAGATATTCGTCGATAACCGATAACGTCGCGTTGCTAGCTCGTACCATAGATAATATAAAAATACGAGAAAAAAAAAACATTAAGACTCGTTCCCCGTAAGACGATTCCAACGAGATATTTTATTTTGTATATAACATATTATCTGGTAAAAAATAAAAAAGAAAAAGAAAAAAAATTAGAGAGAAAGAGAGAGAGAGAGATAAATAGAGAAAGATGGAACGAGACACGCACAGAAGAATGAATAAAAAAGGGCCAAATATAATGTACTTACACATGAGCGTAGACATGTGGAGACGCATTTATTGCTTTACAAATAAACGTTTCAACCGGTAATTAGCGGGCAACAATAAGAAACCACCCACTTTCCCCCATCGTATTCGTAGCCACATATTAATTCGATTTTAATTGCATCGTGGAAGGAAAACATACGGCCTTGAAAGAAAGAACAGGCAATAAAGCGAACGTCCGCGTAGAAGAAATGCGTATCTATAGAACCGTATAACGCTGTATCTTTCCTTTTCTTTCGATATCGTTCTTTGAATTCCGCGAATAAAACACAATTACACTTGGGGAACGCTAAACGGGAAGCACGTAAAAAGGAAAAAGAAGAACATAGGAATTATGAACGTTGGAATTCTACGCGGTGTTTAATAAAAATAAAAATTAAAGAGTAATTTGTTATTAGTATCTGTTATAACCGAAATATAACATTTTTATTTACTTTATGTCGCATTACATAATGTACTTACTTTGTGGGCGTTCAATCAGAAGAGAAAGAAGAAAATGGAAAACAAAAACAAAAACAAAAAGAAAAGAAGAAAAAGCAACAATGACGTTTTTTACAAACAGAAAAAAAAAGGAAAGCAAAAAGGCAAGCGTTTTTTTACAAACAGAAAAAAAAAGGAAAGCAAAAAGGCAAGCGTTTTTTACAAACAGAAAAAAAAAGGAAAGCAAAAAGGCAAGCGTTTTTTACAAGCAGAAAAAAAAGGAAAGCAAAAAAAGAAAAAGTAGAACTGAGAAAGTAAATAGTAACGTTGTAACCATTTAACTACAACTTTATTACAGCTTATTATATATCCATTATAGTTTTATACAAGAGAGAGAACATTGGCCTTATAAGTCGATTTAGACAAAAGGAACTATTACGTACAGCCATCTGCTTCTTCCGTTAGCTATAAAAAAGCATAAACTTATCGAATATTGCATCACTATAATAATTATCGAGAATAATTAAATACCTGAAAAAAAAATCAATTTAAAAAGATCCATGTATCTCTTAATTACATGCGATTACGCATAACGGAGTATACTCCAGCCCCCTCCCTCCTCCTCTACCCCAATCCAACCCTCTAGCTACCAAGTGAACAGATTATTAAATGAATCGTAGAAATTTCAATAAAGTAGCGCATTCAAAATGCATTTCTATTTTGTGCGATCGTAAATCATTCGTTATCATTTTCTGTATCATTTTATATCGTTCACGTTATATACAATATAATATATTTGAATTTAAACATTACGTACCTAACATATGAACGATGCAAATTACGTGTTATGCGTTTTGAAAAACGAAATCCTTATCATTTAACGTAATCTCTGCAATATAGTGTGTATAGTGAAATATAGTGTGTCGAAGCGCTCTGAAAAAAAAATGAAGAGTCTTATAAAAGATCTTGGATCAAAGAAAAAAAGATGAGAAAAAAGAAAAGAGTAAAGAGAAAAAGATTACAAGGAAAAAATAAGGAGGCCAAAGAAAGAAAGAAAGAATATAAGAAAGAGAGAAAGAGATAAAGAAAAAGAAAGAAAAAAACGAAAGATCGAACAAGTATCTCCCTGCGCTTTCACTACAGGTTATTTTTATTAAATTAGATATAATGGAATTCTTCGATGAATCACGCGACTGAATAAAAGATGAATCCTCGTCGAAGAAGCGCTCGCGTGTCAGACAGAGACAGAGATGACCGACCGACCGATCGAGAAGAGAAAGACAGAGAAAGAGAGAGGGGAAAGAGGGGGGAGAGAGAGAAAGAGAGAGAGGATAGCGAGTGAAGAGCAAAAACGATCAAGTGCCTGGGGGTGAAAAAGCTCAGGGAAGAATGTCGATATTAATAAAAGTTCAATTCAGCCAATAGCCCGTGGGAATTAGAATAAAGGCTTTCCCGAAAGGAAAGAAGAAGAAAAATTAGGAGGCCAAGATAAAGCTGACTGACTTTTCAATGGCTGACTGATTGACAGACAAAGAAAATGAACGAAAATATTTAAATTTTTTTGATGTTCCAAAATATTTAAATGCTAAATCAGTCGTTCAAAAAATTTACTTATTTATTTAAGAATATACGAAATTTCTTTGGTTTCTTTTACTTTTTCCTTGTAATCTTTTTTCTTTTTTCTCTTCTCTTTTTCTTTTTCTTTTTCTTTTTTTCTTTTTTTTTTTTTTTTTTTTTTTTTAAGAAACTTCATAAAATTCTTCGAAGGTTTTTCCTGACCCGTTTTGTATAAAAATAATCGAATCGTTAACATCTTTGATTTTGATCAGACAATTTTTTTCTTTGCTCTTAGCCTTACGCACTTACGGCACAATATAAAAGTGAAAGAATTTAATGGATCAAAAAAGAAAAACTTAACTGAAATTAAGCCAATCTCGTTTATTCGCTTGATCGGTCACGAATGCGTGATAATGCGTTCAATGAAAGAACGTAACGAAAGCATTACAAACGATTTCTTTTTTCTTCTTTTTCTTTTTCTTTTTTTTTTTCTTTTGCCCTTTCGAAAAGAAATATCGTCGTTCGTAACAATCGTACAGAAGAATGAGAAAAATAAAAGAAAGCAAAAAGAAAAAAGAAAAAAGAATCTTTCAATGTACGAGGAATGAGAGATAGGGAAGGGGTAGAAAGGTGGAGAGAGAGGGGAGGAAGAAAAAATCAAAGGCACTCGATTTAAACGGCCGGAATGCCGAACGGGAGACAAAACTTTTCCTTTACTCGCCGATAGACGTGGATGCTGATACCTGTTGCATGCCGGCGGAAAAAAAAAAGAAAAAAAAGAAAAAAAAAGAAAAAATACGAGGTATACTGATAGGACGATTTAATGTCTGAATTTATTTTCACGGTTTACTATTCTGTACACACGCCCATATTTACACGCGTCTCTTTTTTTTTTGGACCGCGGAAATTACGAGCACACATTATGACACCCTCATAGGTATGGTACTTTATCCGCGAAATATATAAATTGTGTTGCTAAAGTGTTAATGAATAAAAATACGAAGCGTAAAAATATAGATGAAATTCGTTTTTCTCTCTCTCCCTCTTTTCCTCTGTCTAATTCTGTCTATCTTTCTCGTACGTATATTAATTAAGAAAAATGAGGGAATGTAACGTTTTACTAATATAAATTTTTCCAAATGTTCTTGAAAGATTTTTATCCTAAACGAATAAACTATATAAAATTCAAAATTGAAAATGAAACTTTAAAATTTTGTCGTTCGATAAAATTGACCATCGAAGATCCAATGCACTCTTCTAATAAATACACACACATAAACTTACACATATATGTATGTATATATGTATTAGATATATACGTAAAATAGTATTTAACCGACGATACGTAGCGTGAAAAGCACTCATCGACGAACTGTCTATCCCACGTATCATCTATCGTATGCAATCTCATCGAAATTCGTTCTCTCGAACATGACTACTACTATCGATAAGCAAATACCCGAAACAATTCCGATTCGGCAGTCGGTCGGTCTGTCGCGAGAGCACGAATTCTAACTAAAGCTCGTTACTTCTAATGCTTAGACGATTCGCTCGAGTGCTTTCGTAGTACCCTCTTCGCTTGGCGCGCCATCAACGATTCACTTTCTTTCCCTTGCTAATCGACCGAAGGATGAACATTTTCGTGGCACACGTTAAGCTATATTGGTTTTTACACGTTGTTCGTAATTATCGACTGTTTTTAGGGGAACCATAAAAAAAAAAATTAATTCTTTTCATTAAAATCAATTTCAATGATATCAATCGTGTGAAAGTGTGCGTGTCTGTGCGTGTAGCAAGAACAACAATAAAAAAAAAAAAAAAAAAAAAAAAGAAAAAAGAAGAAGAAAAAGAAAGAAGAAAAAAATAAATAAATCATAATTTTGAAAAGAAAAATTAATTTTTCTAACATTCGACAATCGAAATTTGTTCACAGGTGAACGACCGTACAAGTGCCATTTACCGGACTGCGGACGGGCTTTCATCCAACTATCGAACCTTCAGCAACATCTTCGGAATCACGATGCCCAGGTGGAAAGGGCGAAGAACCGGCCGTTCCACTGCAACATCTGCGGGAAGGGCTTCGCCACGGAGTCCAGCCTCCGTACCCATACGTCGAAGGTCAGTCATGTATGTACCAAATCCGACGTCCAACACATGCATTATCGCTATTTTAAAGAGATAATGGGCTGGGGCCGCTGCCCATGGATTCGAGAAAGACGAAGGTCGATCGTTGAAACGCGTGAACTCGTAATGAACGATAATCTCTTCTCTTTGGCTATTTCGTATATACTCTATCATTCGTTATATCTTTCCATTTTTTTAATCTTCCTTCTATTCTTATATCTTAATCGAGAAAAGCACGCGTCCAAGGCACGCACGTAATCAGATTACACATACACGGTGGTGGGTCACGCTTTCATTGAATCAATACGTTATTATAGATCGAATAAATTAAAAGGTCATAATAAAATGTTATATCTTTCTTAGTCATCATTGGATCGTCTTAAATCGATCCTATAATTTTCGATTTTCATTAATCATTTAGGTATTCCCCAGAAAATCGCTAAACTTTTATCTATATCTTAGCTTACAATATTTCTCGCTTTTATTAAATATAATATATCGAAAACGCTTCGCTTTGCTTTGGTTTCGGTCTAATAATTTCAATGTAGAGAGCTTCGGATATGTTGCAACAAAAATATAATATATAGATTCGTCGAGAAATATTTTTAATACTTCATTTGGATTGGAATATGCCTTCCAACCCTCGAAGATTGTTCAACAGTCTGTTAACGATAAAACGTTCTGAAATTATGACGGTTACATTGCCGAAGGCCCTATATACTATCGAAAGAGAGAGAGAGAGAGAGAGAGAGAGAGAGAGAGAGAGAAGATGAGATAAGGAAAAAAATGGAAGCAAAAAACCACATCAAGTTTCTACCCTTCGACGCCCTTCGATGCGAAAGGGTTGAATGAAACGCATCGTAAAGACGACGAAGGGTGTTCTCGTTCGTTTCGTAAAGAGGAAGAACGAACGTTTCGATTTACCCTAACGTTTTGATTGGACCGAGTCTGTTTATGTATATGTACATACATATGTATATGTATGTCTACTATTATACGATGGAGATATATATGTGTGTGTGTGTGTGTATATGTGTGTGTGTGTGTGTGTGTATATAACCGCGAGAACAAAATCGATTTTCGAATTTAGTCCTTTCGCAAAGGATTTCCAATGAAACATGCGAATCGATTTCTCTTTCACTTGATACGTCGAGTAAGGTCGAGCTGGGCTAGTAACTTTCTCAACCCTTTGAAAGCGCGCGTCGGGCACATGTCTCGTCGAAAAAACGTGGGAAGGCATCTGTTGAAAGTACGAGAGAAAAGGGGAAGAGGGATAGAGGAGAAAGAGGAAGAGAAGAAGGATGAGGTAAAGGAAGAGGTCTATGCCTTCTCCTTTTCCTCTCAGCTTCCGTCGCAAGGAGGAGCTGAACTGCTGTGTACGGTGAAACTTTTTGCCGATACCAATTACATCGGGCTCCTAACAGTCTCTCTCTCTCTCTCTCTCTCTCTCTCTCTCTTTCTCTCTTTTTCTCTCCTTCTTTCCTTCTATTTATAGAACGTAGCGTTCACAACCGGATCGTTGTTGCTACCAACGAGATAAGAGTACTTTTCCTACGACCGATCTTATTTTGTTGTTCGACAAATTTTCTTTTTTCGTTTCTTTTTTTCCTTCTTTTTTTAATTTTTCTATTTATTCATTTTTTTCTTTTTTTTTTTCTTTATAATCCTTAAGAGAAGAACACTCGGCGATGATTTAGATCAAATATAATATCAACAAAAGAATAAGTTTTTTTTTTATGTACATATATGTGTAACATGTACATTTTTATGTACATATATATATATATATATATATATATATATATAACTTTGGTAGGTACACAATTTTTGTCATAATTACATCATTTACTAATCTGGGAATTTAGTAAAGAAAAAACTTACGTCAAACACGTAACACAAAAGGGAAATTTTCCTTCGACTATAAAATACCTCTCGTACGTCGTTCTTCCCACGCCAATAAATATTCTTCTTTTTAACGCCCAGCTCTCATCGGGATGCTCTAATTGAAAGCTAATCCATGGTTAAGGAAGGGGCTAGTGGTGATCCCACCTAGTCCCTTCAGGCACGGCCTCGATAAATCTCCGGTAAAGTCGCGTCGGCGAACCCACCCATCCGCCTATCGTTTTTCTTTTTTCTTTCTTTCCTCTCCCTATCTCTCTCTCTCTTTTTTTTTATTTTCTTTTTTTATTTTTTATTTTTTTTTTTCCTTTCTTTCTTTACCATCATGGAAAAAAGGGTAAAACAGGATAGTATACGGCGAAGGAAAATAAGGCGATACGAAAGTACTCCGCTATTAAAGGGCTATTACGAGCTGCTTCTTTTTTATACTCCGTCTCTTTTTTTAGCCGTTGTCGAGCACGAGATAGCAAGGTAGCCTACGTATACAAGACGAGTTCTCGTTCTTCCTGGTAAGGTCTTGGTAGGATTACTTCGACGTGTAGCGCGAACGAACAGTATCTAAACGTGTTTCTTGCGATCCTATCCATTGACACGATGTTCCGTCATTGTTCGACGAGTAGGACGCTCACAGTGATGCGCGTAAAATATGATTCCACTTTTTCCCAACTAGTCCAGAGTACCGACTTCCTTTTTCACGATCGTACTAGACGGCTTTATCGTTTTCTTCCTTCTTCCGAGAATAATACTCGTGTTACTGTTACAACCTAAAAGAAAATAACAAACAAGAACTCGATAGAATAGCCGATCTGAAAGTAGTTAAACGTTTTCGTCGATAAGATAACGAGAAAAAAAGGAGAAGAAGAAAAAAGATTCGTAAAGAAGAAGAAGAAGAAGAAGAAGAAGAAGAAGAAGAGAAAGAACATGAGAAGATGAAGAAAAAGATGAAGAAGAAGGAACGGACGAACGAGCGAACGTAGATGATCTTGCAAGAGTACGGAGGAGTAATTAAAAGCCGCCAACGCGACAGAAACGGAGTTCGCCCGTTGGAAATAAAACGAAACGAAACGAAACGAAACAAATGGAGAACTCGAGCCCATCTTCCGCGGCTAATCGAATTTTCGCCGGGGCAGATTTCTTGAAATTGTTTTCGCTATTTCGAGTCACTTCGTTCCGTCGGACGAAGACTCTGATATCTAATGGCTGGTTGTTTAAAAAAAAAAGGAAAAAGAAAAAAAGAAAAGATAAAGTTTCAGAGAGAAAGAAACGCAAAGAGATAGAAAAAGAAAGATAGAGGGAGAGAGAGAGAGAGAGAGAGAGAGAAAATATATGACCTAAAAAGAAGGTTGACGAAAGAAGAAGCGAAGAGAATCATAACGAAGGACCACACTAAACATAAATCGCTAAAAGTTGAATCCTTCGAAGCAAAAAAGAAAAAAGAAAAGACAAAAGATAAAAGTGAACTTGTTGAATTAGATGCTGCAAGTAATCGTTACATATGGGTAGTTGAAAGAAAGAAAAAGAATAATTATCTCAACGTAATATACCAGATATTATCATTAACGCTATAAATAAAATACGATTAATCTAATGCCATTACAGAAAAGAAATATTACCCGATTAGCATTTAAGAATATCCTGTTTTTCACCCCATAAATTTTTATACCGTACATGCTAAAAACGCGTCATATTAGGAAACAAAAATGTCATTTAAAGAAAAGAAAAGAAAAAAAAAAAGAAAAAAAAAAAAAGAAAGCACACCTTCTATCACTATATTAGAAATATACCGGTACTCGATTCTACTTCCTACGTTGTACGTGCGAACCTACATCGTGATTGTGTTTAAGCGAGATTGTGTTTCTCAATGCAATCTCGTTGAGTGTCGGTGAAATCGAAACAAAGCAAACGGTTTTGAAAATAAAAGAAAATAAAACTGCCGACTAGGGAGAAAGAAAGAGAGGACGACGGGGTTGTGTGAGGTTGATAGGAGAGGAAAGGATGGAGAGGGGAGTGGGAGGATGGAAAGGGATGATCGTGGAAAGAGAAACGAAAGAGTTACGCCGGTAGCTCGTAACTTGGCGTGTCGGCGAAACATTATCCCTGGAAAAGGAAAGACAATACACTCCGAGCATAATATTATAATAGGCCGAAGCGTAAATGTATTATAGAGAGTACGGATCGGCGGTATTACTCCGGGCATGAAAGCTCTCGACTACGGTACCTACACACATCCTCCCCCTCCTACTCCCCCATTCCCTCTTCACCTCCATCCCACTTTCTTTCCACTTTTCCTCCTTCCTTTATTCTCTTCGACACTCATCCCCCTTTTTGTACCTCCCATCATACCTCTCCCCCCCCAACCTCCCCGTTCACCGTCAGACAGGGGCGGATCTTAGAGAAAGCGTAGTCATCCGAGCGTTTCCTTCATTGCGATCATTGTTCCTTCATTTACACATGTATGTACGTAAGTTCATATATATATATATATATATATATATATATATATATGTATATATCTACGAATGTATGCAGGTATTAATCTATCTGTATATGTAAATCGTCATGGATCAACGATTCTCCTCCTTCGAAGTCAAACCGATCTCGAACCTGATTGGATCGATCATAGCAAATACGTTAACGTAGTTTACGGTCCTTTTTTCTCTTTTTTTTTTGTTCGTTTTCTCTTTTCTTTCGTTGATCGTCCGTTCGATGTTTCTTCTTTTCTTTTTTCTTCCTTTTTTTTTCAATGTTCACACGTAAATATATTCGAAAGTTATCGAAGCGATTACACGAAAGAAGAACATCCGACGAGCGTATCTGTTAACGCTCGAAAAACCAGGACGAGATCAAAATAAACTCAACGACGTGGATTTTTGTTGTTATTTTTACATTGCGGGCAAGTATCCAATAGGCTGATACGCACCTGTGTATGTGTATGTATATGTCTGTGGTTGTGTATACGCGCCACGCGAAGACATATTGCAAAATATCTATCGGGAAACGGCATAAAAAACGATGTCTTAAAATAAGATTGGATGTACACATACATAAAAGAGTAATACAAACGACGATGGAATTACTTTCATAAAGTAACGTCTTAACTTTTT